TATATATATATATATATGAGGCGCGCAGCGTTAACCGCTGCAAGTAAATGCGAAACTTAATTTTTTATAAATTTTAAAAGCAAATTGAAATTATAAAATTAAATTTAAGAAGTAAATAGAAATCGATTAAATGTTATTTATAATACATTAGACGAGGGTTTGACCACTCTGCATGCAGAAGACCCTAGAAGGATATGAAGTAATATAATTGTGTCTGCTTGAATAGAACAATAAAATTCTATCTAAGTTAAAATAATTAAAAACATTTCAAATTAATATTTAGATAATACTATTTTTTTATACTGCTTCAGTCAAACGCAGAAACATTGCAGAGGAATATAGCAGAGAGAATAGCAAAATGTCTGCTAAGCTTCTCGTGCGTGTCTATAGAGAGAAAAACTTGGGTTGTATTTGTCATTATGCATCTTTATTTATATTTTTTGTTATGTTTTGCTATTAATAAAATATTTAATAGTATTTATAACGGTATATTCTCGTTTGTATTGGTCTTCCTCCAGAGGTAAACTCGCACACACCGGACCGCTGTACAGCCCCAAAGCAGAAGCACTTGCTTTCTTTGTTTTTGTCCACTTATTTAGCTGATATTTTTCATTTATTTAATGGATATATTATTAAATACTGTTTGAATCAAAGAAATATATAAATTTCGTGAAAATAAAGGGAGAAATAGCGTTCTTACCTCACCTCATTATCACCGACCAATTCAACTTCTTGCAGAAACGCACATCTTAGCAACGCGGAATTATTGCATGTTTTCTTTATTTGTGGGATTAAATTGATAATTATAAAGCTATTTAAATATATTTTCATATTTATTTCCTTTTGTTTCTTCCATTTTTCGCCTGAGGGCATGCATGCACGATGCAGCTTGCAGGCGGGGGGTCGGCTGCAGAGGCAGCAACAACAGCAGCAGAAGAAGAAAAGAAAGATAATTCATCTTTTTCTGGCTTTACCTTTGAGAAACAAACTCAAAGTTTAATGGATAGCGTTAGCCAAAGAACTTGCAAAGAGAATATCATTCAACTTGCTGTTGATCTAGACACCTGTACGTACACAGCAGCATACGTAATATTCTGCATATTTATGCATGTGCTGCTCCTTATACAATTCATTAATGTATTTTCACCTTTAAATAAAATACTATTATCAGACATTATCATTAGCATTGAACTCTTCTACAAGTATACTTGAAAGACCATCTACACGTCTATGCATATACATGTAGGCGTGGTTGGCTTTTTTATATTTGCGTTATTATTAACGTTTATTTTACTCTTTTTATTATTGTTGTTTTGCTGTTTTTGCTTTGTTGTTGTTGTTGCTGTTGTTGCCGTCGTTGTACTCGTTTTTTGAAAAGGGAAAGCAGATATAAAGCCGCAACATAATTCAACAAATTCAAATAATAATAGTAATAATAATAATTATAATAATTATTATTTGAATAATATATCTGTTTTATGTCTTTATTTGGGTTCTTTATCAGGCATTATTTCTACAAAGAAGACAATACCTTTCGATGGCTGCAGCCGCAAAGAAAGACTTCGCCTTCTACTAACAATGGCCAAAGAAAATGGAGGCCCCTCTTTGTTCGTCTTCCGTGTAGACTTCCGTTCAAATTCACCAGAGTGGTGAGATATAATATATTTATATATAATTATAATATACATTATATATATAATGCCGGTCTATCTTTTGCTTCCATTCTCCTAGTCTGAAGCATATTTATTTTCTCTTATTATTATTATTATTATTAACTCTGTTACTATTATTTGTTTGCATCTTTGAATTTTCTTTCCCGCACAAGTATGATGGGTTGCTTATTTGTATCATTATTTGTTTGTTTGATGGTGTGAAGACTCCTCATTTGCATGTTTCTATATTTGTATTGTTCGATATGTATATTTTAGCTTGTTTATTTGCGCTGTACAGTATGTGTACTTGTTTGTTTTATTCGTCTTTCCTCTTTTGTTTGTTTGTTTCTTCATTGTTTGCTTCTTCTTTATTTATTTCTTCGTTTATTTGACTGTTTTTCTCTCTCCACCTCTGCAGGGCGTTGCTGGCCTGGGTACCAGAGGACTCCGTTTCATACGCCGAGCGGATGTTTTTCTGCACGGCGTTGTCGTGGCTGTCTGGCACATTTGTAGATGCACGAAGTCCTGTACGTGAATATTATATCACAGAGGAAGCTGAACTCCCCTGTTTCAAGTGGACGTAGAGCTGGAAATCGAAGAAAAAAGGCATCATTTCGCTTTTTATTGCGAAGTGATTGCTAAATAGTTCGTTGTTTAGTCATATATAGCAAATATTCAGCGAAAAAGGAAAAAGTATTCAGGTTTCAGTTCAAATATAAACATAATGTATCGATGGCGGCGGCGCGGGGTGTACGTACACCCCGAGTTGTTGTAAATTATATTTATCATTTTATTTGTGTTTCCCTTCATATTCTGAGGGAAAGTTTATCTGAAATGTTTTGAAATGGCTTTATTTTCTCCTTTTATTCATTATTCTGCTATACTTGCTTCTAGTTTCTTTCTTTTCTTCGTACACTCCGAAGGCCGGCGCATTGACCCCGCTCCAGCGGCTTCGGTTGAACGTTCTTCATTTTTGTTTGGTTTAGAAGAAAACTCCTTGAAGCGCTTTTCTTCTTTGCCTCGATTTCGTTCTATTTCCAGCCTTTCACCAGAAACTGAAACAGGGGGTTCAGAAGCTGCCAATACACCCCAAGACAACACCGCCGAGGCCACAGTTGAACCTCCTCCACCTGTTTACTTTTATCCCTTAGACGATTACTTGGTACTTCCTAATAGCCGCAGGTACTGCGAAGGCAGCAACATTCTCCTCGCTTCTGCGGCTAAAGACGTACGCCCACCACAACTTGCTTACATCCACATATATATATATATATATATATATATGTATAGACATATATATGTATATTATTTTTGTGCTAGTAGAACAGAGTATCTATCTCTCCTCTAAATGCTTCCAATAAAACTATCTCTTCTCAGTCGTCATTCACGAATGCAAGCGAGGGAAGGGCCGCCTGCTCTTCAGACAAAAGCTGCAGCTTTGTTTCTTCCGGCCCCTCTAAACGTCTCAGCCCCCCTCTACCACTGACGTTCGCCGATGGCCTTCTGCCTGGCACAGGGGCTAATTGGTGAGGGTTTATATCTTTTTGATGGTTGTTTGATGATTAGTAGATTAGGCTGGCTGTTGTCTTGTCTTGTTGTTTGTCTTCCTTCGGCGCTGTATCGGTTGTTTCAGCGGTCTAGGTTGTGGAGGCGGTGCTGGTGTTAATTTTTTATTTATTTATTCATATTTTGTTGCTTGTCTATTGCATTTATAGCAATTTATTATTTGTTTCTGCTCTATACATTCGTCCTCCTTTTTTTCTGTATTTTCCTTTCTATTGTATATATATGTATATATTATATACCTCAAGTTCGAACCATCATCAGGTTCTGCACAGGTGTGCTGCTGGTCTAAGCGGGCTGTTTTGTTTATTTAGAACAAGACGCTGTGTTTAATTTATTTTATTTTTTGTCTTTACTTCGCCTCCAGGAGAGGAGTGGTGTAGAAGCACAAAAGCAGCGGGTTGGCTAACTCTTGTGAAAGGAGACGAAATCCGAGGTCAGTCTTATTACCTCAGCAGCAGCAGCAGTAGCAGCAGCAGCAACAGTAGCAGCAGCAGCAGTAGGAGGAGCAGCAGTATCAGTAGCGGCAGCAGCAGCAGTTGCAGCAAAAGTATTTCTTTTCTTTCTTTCTCTACACACTTTCTTTGCAGCTGCGAGCCTGGCCTTTGACGTTCACTTAAATACCTTTATTGTAAGTAGTAGAGGGAAATAAAACAGGAGAAGAAATACAAAAAAATAAACGAGGTCTGTCTTCTAGGGCGGGTGTGAAGGCCCTGACGTTGTGAAGGAGATAGCTCGAATTAACGGATTAAGCGCAATTGAAAATGCATTGAAAATGTACAATTATCGGCAAGAAATTAATTTAAAAACTGTTTAAATAGACAAAATAAATTCATAAGCATCAAATAATCAACTGTCTATACACCTCAGATGCGAGAATGAAGCGGAGTGCGGCTTCCTAATTATCGTGAGCTATCATTTGCATGCAAATTATTATTTATTTATTGTCTTTCACTGATTTTAATCAATTAATTAAAAGAAAAAAATTTAACTTCATTAATTATACCAACGCAGAACTTTGCTGCAGAAGACGATGCCCCCAATCGAGTGCGACAGCCGAAGGCGCTGCTGTGCAGAGGTCAGAAAAAATATTTTATTTTATATAAGATATTATATTGTTATATTTTAGATTACATTGCTTATCTTTTAGTTTATTTCATCATATTTTAGTTCATTTAATACTCTATTTTATCTATTGTTATTTTATTTTGCTCTATTTGATCGTACATTATTTTATTACTTCACTTTTTATTTTATTTATCGGGCTGAGCTGAATAGAGTTTTAGGGGTTGCAAACGAATGGAAGAAGGAGAACGGTGTAGTTGCTTTTACTCAGAAGAACATGTCTGCGGTGAGTTTTGTTTTGATATATTTTTGCATATAATTGTTGAATTCTTTATTTTCTTCTGGGGATTCTCTTCGTTTTTCTTATCGTCGTTCAGGTGATAGAGGGAGAATTGGTTGGTTGCTGTTTTATGTTGTTTTATCTGCTTCATTAGTAATGGGTTTTGATACATAAACGAAACAGACAAAGCTAAAACCAAAGAAAAGCAAAGGAGGAAGAGAAGGAAGCGGCTCTATCACACAAGATAATCTCTTTGACTCTGTTCCTAAGGGCACTCTAGTGCCTGCTAAGCTGAAAGATTTAATTTAATTAATTACAAAACAATAACAGCAATAAATATCAAACAAACCACACAAATAATAAACCTTCACGCTAATTCAACCGCAAGAAACACTACTACTTCATCATACAGCATACCTTGCAGCACTTAATATACTTTTCTCTGAATTCAATTATTTTATAGTTTTAAATACTATGCGCTGCATATACTATATTTTCTGTACTATCTATAGTATGCACATATGTATGTAGATAAATATATATAGAAAGTCTATATATATATAGATAAATATATACAGAAAGTATATATATATTGGCTTATATGCATAATGTGGGAAGCCAATATATATATATATATATATATATA